CCTTCCACCCCCTCAAAGCCACCAGACACCCCGCTGCCACCAAATAAACAAACCCCGTAAACAACTGCGTGCCCAGATAATCACCCGTCCCCGCCACGATCTCCAACGCAATCGGCTCGCTAAACGTACACGGCAACACAATACTCAACCATAACAGATTCAGCCCAGCCGGCACTTCTTTCAACCCGACGACCTCAGCCATCAGCGGCGCAATAGTGGCCCAGAAGTTCCCTCCGACGAGCCCCTCGGCGACGGCAAAGAAGGCCAACACGCCGTAGGTCTTCGCATTTGTCCAGACCACCAGCGCCAAGAGACCCGCCAGGAAGGTCATGGAGCCAGCCATGTTAATCCGTCCGACGCGGTCGCTGAAGTAGCCGATGCAGGGGCGGCCGACGGCCTGTCCGAGGTTGAATATTGCGGTTATGATGGAGGCTTGGGAGGCGTTGAGGCCGATCTCGTTGGCGTAGTTGGCGAGACTGTACATGAGGACGAAGTAGCCGAGCATTGTGAAGCTGGCGAAGCCGAGGAGGAGTTGGTATTCGGCTTTGTGAAGGAGGGTGAGCTTCATGGATGTTCGTTTGTGGGAGCTTGTAGTGGGGCCGCTGTTGCGGTCTTTGATTAGGAGCGTGCATATTGTGTTTACGACGAAGCCGATTATGCCAAGGATGCGGAACGCCCATTGCAGCCCTAGATTGCGGATCATGGCGCCGGTTGCGAGCGAGTAGATGAGGCCACCGAGGCCGGCGCCGGAGAGCGAGATGCCGCTGGCTAGGGAGCGTTTTGTGGTGAACCATTGCGGGACGACTGCGGCCGTGGGGATGAAGAGGAAGCCTACGCCCATGCCGAAGAGGATTCCCTGTGTGAGGAAAAGGTGCCAGATCTCGGTGGCGAAGCTCGCGCTGATTAGACTGGCGGTTTCGAGAATGACTCCGCAGAACATTATTGGTTTTATGCCCCATTCTCGGACACCTATTGTGGCGATGGGTGATACGAGTAGTAGAAGGGCGATGCTTAGGGATCCCACGAACGCGTACTTCAAGGGTGAGGAGCCGGGGAAGGTATCCTGCTTCAGGTAGTGAGCGAGGAATACGCCGTATGCAGAGTTGAAGCCCCATGAGTGGGCGTTGATTGTGGCCGCTGCTGCTGTGCAGACCCATCCATACCCACCGTCTGGCGGTACACTTAACTCATGCTGTTGTTGAGTTTGAGGTTGGACTGGGCCTTCTGAGGGCTGGTTTTGGTCACCCGGTTGTTGGATATCTTTCTCCATGTTGGTGGGCGAATGGCAATGAGAGAGACTTTTTTGTTGGCATGGCGTTATATATCTATGATTGAGGTTAGCTAGCCCAAGAAAATACAGTTAGCATTATATCTATGATAACTGGAGAAAACGAAGTCTCATACTGTGGATCCGGCTTATATCTATGCGGTGATAGGCCGGACGGCGTTTGATCCATAGCCCTACGACGCTCCCGGTGATTGTCTCAAGCCGAGACCTATAACGAATACTCTTCAAGTCGAAGAAGTCTCCATCAAGCGTAGGTTCCTGGTTCCCCAAGAATATTCAGAAGTGGGTTCTAGAACGGAAAAAAGTGGTTCTTTTCAGAAAGCCCTCGTAGTGGCCGGCGGCAAACAATGGGCCTCGCTGCCCCTTTAGTCTCAGATATATTTTATAGTTGCTATGCTTTATCTGGACGTGGCCAGAGAAATGGTCTCCTCACACGAGTGAGCCCAGCAGTTACAGCTGGTTTAACGACATTACTGTTAAAGACAACGTATGGGACAAATGATAGTGACGATTGGATCGACTATGACTCCCAGAGACAAATTGGTTGAAAGTCGTGTGAAGCGGCTCAAAGATGTCTGCTTGTCTCCCACTAGCGTGCGAAAGGATCACTGACCATCAAATTATGGATCTTCAGTACGTTGATTCAGTCGATCTCAACGGCCACGCATAGTCCGATGCAAACGCCGGATCTCGGCCTTTGAAATTGTGATCATTGATCACCGATCACTGACCCTCTATGCATGTGGGTCAGCTCCTTCAATCTATAAATGTTCAACCTTCCCAACCCTCATAAAATCTCTAAGAATGACAGAATATGTTCCAAGTTAAATCGTTTTACTGCAACTTGTGATGATCTGGCATCGAAAGGTCACGTGATTATAAACAGCAGGCGAATATATTGCTTTAACGACTCGAAGTACTGTCTAGATAGACTCCTCCTTTTCCTTGCACTATGTCTTGCTATCGGCTTTATTAGTTAGCTTTCATATAGCATAATTCATGAGATTGCATTAAGGATTCTTACGTGAAGACAATCCAACCAAGCTCTTCCATAAACTCTATAGTTGGAGGGCTTGCAGATCCGCTGCAAACCTTGACAATGATTCTGTCCAGAGACTCAATAGCTCTGAACTGTGTGTTAATGTCTTCCAATACATCTCGGAGGAGTTGGACATTGATCTCTTGGTCTGTTAATAGACCGTAGTTCGGACCGTAAACGAGGGTTTCCAGTGTTTTCAAGTTGGTGCACTGTTCTTGGAGGAGTCGCAAAGTCTGCAGGCCATCTTCCCCAATTTTTATTTCACCCAGTTGACCATCCACTCTCTCTATGGCTGGAAAATCCATCCGCAGGTACGACAGAAAGCCTGCATTCGCCGGGCCGATGCAGTTCAGGAAAGATTTCACAAGACTGGCCTGGCGTTTTGTACTCTCCTCCAGGGCAAACTCATTCGTACTATAGAGGACTGCTTTTGCCTCCTTGGATACTTGTCGATTGGTATATAAAAGCGCAAGCGATTGGCTTGGCTTTTCGGGTGTAAAGGATTCTATAGGGCAACGCGGATCCTGAAATAAGAAGATTGGATGTGACACAGCCAGCACTTGTCTGTAGATTCTATTGCGTAGATAAATCGGGAGGTCTGAAAAGCCGGTATGAGTCGAAGATAGTGGCCGAGAAAGAGTCCTGTTCGGGCTTGCAGCCGCCATGATGTCGAAGACGTGTTCTGGCCGCTGGCGATTGATTATATCGAACAGTGTCCTCGGGAAGTGAAGAAGCGAGGAGAGTCCAACCAAGGTACCTTTTTCGTTCTTTTTCCAGAGAACAAGTCAATACAAAATTGTTTACAGAGGGATAATGCACATTTGAGACTTGCCATATGAATAGGTCAGACAAGTTATGGGGACATCTGCCAATCATACATCCTACGGATGAGGGGTACAGGCAAACAAAGGAGGGCAATGATGAGTCGTACAAACAACATTCGACATCAGGGACTGTCGATCTAGCAGTGAGTATAAATGAATTGGGGCAATTTCTAGAGAGACTACCTTGCAAAATTGAGCGGCCTATTTTCTTTGTAATTTGATATTCGGGATATACATGATAGAGCTCGAGAAAATATTCTACATATACCGGGAAGCTATCCTCGATGGTCCAGGGGCTTAAAACATTACATTTACTTCTCTTGAATAGGACATAATGGAATACCGGGAGAGGTCCCTAGAATTAAATTGAATTGTAATACCGAGCGAGATACATAAGTGGGAAATAAGATGAATGAAAGCCAACTTTTGTGTCTATCGACAGATATCAAGAGTTAACCTGTTTAGTACGGGCAAGTACTACATACATAGACAAAGATGATCGTAGAGCTTATTAAAGTTGGCAGGATCCAGGCGATTAAACCTATACAACAGTTCTTAAGAATACTCTACTACCAGATCAGCTTTTCAATGCATACAATACACTATTTTCTTGCCGTACTTCGAAGTTCAAATAAAATTGAAAATCAGAAGCTTGCCAGTGAAGCTTCTTCATCCTCGCCATTAAGCTGTGGAAGAATCAGAGATCAAAATTTGGAGTCCTTCCAGCTGGTCTGCAAGACTGCTCATATGTATTATTGTGCACGCTGGCCATCATATGACCACTTCCTAATTGAATGGCACACATAACGCTATGGAATTTCTCATGCAAACAAGTGGAGTATTTCAGCCCTTCTACGCTACGCCTCGGTAGCTATTGAGATATCTGTTTCGTCATTGACGTGCTTATCAGTATGGTCCTCATTGAACGCATGTAGGATGTTGATCATTATTAATAATCTAAGAATTTTCCAGTAAACCAGGAACTATACTACTCCCACGTGATTGACATTTTCTGAAAAGTTTGAACTGTCTTTCAAAAGGCCCGATAACCTAAATTATTTGATTTCTATGCATGATAGATAGAAGACCTTTTGAAATATCAGGATCTCTATCTATTCAATACTGCTATCCTAATATTAATCACATCATCCAGCGCGCCTGCTTATGTCCAATGTCTGACCATTCTTAATGTACGGAGTACTCACGATTACAACCCCGATTGATAAGCGCACAGCTATATGAGACTAGAACGTCCCGACCTGCTCCGAGCACAACAAGCACGCTAACGCAGAATCACAAGCTTGGATCAGATAAAAAGTTACGGTGTGGGTTCATAGAACTGGGTATTAACGAAGAGCCGGAAGCAAAGCCCGAGCGGAATTAAACAGCCAAAAAGCGGGACGCTCTTTGTGGTGGCGGGTCCTTCGGTGGAGACTGAGAGTTGAGATGGAGGGATAGGGCTTGTCGGAGTAGCATCCCTAATGCACAATGTTGCACACCGCAGGTAGGCTCTGTACTATATGACACATCAATTTCTAGGGTATAGAGGTCTTTGTATAGCTTTGTTCATGTTACATCACTAATGCAGAGTGCTATTTTAAATCGGAAATCGGCTTTTCGAACCAACGTCGTTCCGACATGTCTTGCTTGAAGGTTTCACTAGCGTCATTTACTATTCTATAGGAGTGGATTAAATTACTGGAATTCGGAAAATTAACTAATTACTATCGCCACTCGCTTCCATCCCCACATATCTTCAACGCCCTGTAGATGTTCACAGTAGAGTACAATCACGTTATTCCACTTGATCAGCTCTCTTGACAGCATCATATCAAATAGTCAAACTCCTTTACAAAAAGGCCACAGCAAGACATCCAGCTAGCACACTAAGCAGCAGTCCATCGTGCGAAATAGTAGACGCAGCTCCAGGGAATAAGCTGACACTCGGCGAAGCACCGCCAGTCTAGGAGAAGCGACTTAGTGGGGTTTCAAAAGAAAAAGACGAAAATCTTACCGAGTTCTGAGACGGTGTCGCAGAAGACACCACGGTAGATGCAGCGGGTGTCGAGGTAATCGCACCGCTAGAGCTAGGCGTAACGCCAGAAGCAGCAGAGGTTGCACCCGTGGTTGCAGCAGCGTTAGTCGAAGTGGAAGACGGGGATAAGGTGACTGAGTTTCCCGTTTCAGTAGCGCTGGCGCTACCAGCGGCCGTGGTCGTAGTGGAGGACGCTTCGACAGGAGTGGCGTCCACACCACATCCAGTAGCGGCCTTGGAACGCCCGAGCCGTAATACTTCCACATGTCGTACTTGAGTGCACACTTAAGGCATTCAGATAACTCAGTTTTGAAGGTGTCGGTATCGCAGTAGCCGTCTTTACGAGCAGCAACAATGACTCCCCCTGGTTTGATCAGTTTGCTGCTATGAAGTAGTTTAATAAATAGGAAAAGCTGAACTCACCGCAGTTTGCATGGCAGTCGTACTCGGGAGTACCGGGGTCCTGCCGACGGTGCAATGGGACAAAGTCTGGGTATTGGAACGCACTGGCGCTGACCGCCATGCAGGCGAGAGTTACAAGAGTAGGAAGATGCATGGTTGGTTTGGCAAATGAACGCGGGATGCACGAAAAGAGTGTCAAGTACTAAGTAATTGAAAAGGCTAAAGATGGGTGGTGGGCAAAGACAGTGAGGAGCTGGGAAATTTAGCGCCTACTTATACATCCTTCCGACTACTAAGATAGGATCACATTTCGGTTGCGCTCCTTTCCGTGATAGAACAGTATTGTATCCAAAGTACACAAACAAACAAGAAAAACAAAAGAGAAAGAAAAAGTCGTACGACCATTCGGGGACTCACGACCCCTCGGGACCGATTCCCAGTCCTGGGATAGTGTCTTTCTGAAGCCACGGAATATGCCGACAGGGTACGGAGTAATAAGAGGAGAGATGTGGAAAGGACCCTCTAAGACCCTGCTTTGGACTAATCGGAAGTCATTCGTGGTAAAAACGATGTAACTCGAAGAGCGCTAAAAAGATTAGTGAGCCAGGGCCCCACCCACCATCTTATCTGATTGATCTTATCTGATCCAATCCGGCCTTTGTTTGCGCCCTGCACTCTTTGTTTACAGGATCAGTAATCTATTTTTCTTGGCAATTGGGGAAAAACTAATTTTCGCGTAATGATCTCGACTATCAGGTATCATTCCACCACGGACACTCATGCCAGAGTTTCCGGTGAATGAATTCTCTGCTGCAAAATGCCGGAGACCTGGGCGGGCCTTCGTCGAATGAACTCGTTCCTTGGCGGGTAGACACAGATGGTATTGTGACACATGCATGTTAGGCCATTTATCGGATCTCCGAGATTTGCAAGAGTGGATGGTGGCGAGTAGACTGCTGCAGGCTTATAAGTAGCGTGGTTATGATCCCTTTCCGAAGAACTCCATACACTCTCACTTAATTTTCAAGGCTCTTGAAAGCTTTAACAGGTGTCCCCCAACATGTTCATGAAGAGTAGCTTTGTGCCTCTTGTGGCCCTATCCTCTGCCATTGGCGCATGGGCCCATGGAGAAGAAGCAGCCAAGGAGATGGGCCCTGTGGCCTTCATGTGGCCGTCAGATCGTACCTGGGGCGCCGCCTACGATAACACGGCTCCATGTGGCTCAGCTTCTGGTGCCACGAACAGAACCGACTTCCCTATGGGTGAGTCCCCTTTGAGCACCAAGATATTCACTAAACCGCTAATGAGCGTGCGTGCTTCAAGTCAATGGTCAACTCGCACTCGTCATTCAAGACGAATCGTGGAACGTTCAGATCGCGATCTCTCACAAAAGCGGTACGTCAAACGTCCCACCTCCTAAGTATACAGCTTATCCAAGCTAATTATTATCCAGACCCCAGCACTAATGATGACTTTGAGCCATTCATCGATGGATCAAGTATCAAGGACATCGAGCCAGGCCACGAATGCTATCCTGTGCCCAACCCCTCCATCGATGTCGAAGAAGGAATGAACGCTACCTTCCAAATCAAGTACACCTCGGACTTCGACACCGACAAGAACGAGACCTACTATGCCTGCGCCGATGTCAGATATGTCGCTGCCAGCAAGTTCACAACTCAGGTGCCTTGTTTTAACGTCACAGCGGATGAATTCACCGCTGTCACAAGTCCCACGGCTACCGCTGGTGCCACTGCCACTGCCGGATCATCGAGCTCTTCCTCCAAAGATTCTGGTACAAAGGAGTCAAGCTCAGGTCTTTCTGGCGGTGCTATCGCTGGTATTGTGGTTGGTTGTGTGGCGGCTGTGGTGATTGCTCTTGCAGTTCTGTTCGGATATCGAAGGTTCTTGCAAAAGTATCGCTCATATCGTCAAAAGGCGTCTGTTAGGAATGTGGATTGGGCCGAGACTGCTACTGTTGATCCCAAGGTGGATACCGAGGGTCTTCGGAAGATTCGATAGGTATGGTGTAGGCATGGGCTGTCCTTCTTGTGGGTAGGGGGTTGGGGGTAGACCTTTTGGAAGGAGATTCCCTTGATGACTGCTATGCGATGTGATATGAATGGTTGAATGACACCCTCCATGGGATATTATGTTACTTTTCTTCTCACGTACCTCGACGTACAATGTGTTGAATGTACTGTGCTATAGTTGCTTGATGAGCATCAGAATCATAACACTCTTTTCTTAATTCAATATAACGGGATACCAACTTTGGAGAAATATACTTGGCTGATCCACGACAGCAACCTGGTCGGCTATTTGTCCCATCCTGTCCCCTCCCAAGCAGTTCGCAGCCAAGGGTAAGCAGCAGTGTTTCTGTGGAAGATATGCGGATGTCACGTTACCAGGTTCTTTCCGCGGGTTAGTCGGAATCCAACTTTTTTTCAACCCGCAATAGCCGCTCCGACGTAGTAAACACGAGAAAACTCTGCCAATTCGTCTTATCTAAGAGTACAAGACCTCCACAGGAGGCTAAATGATTAGAAATATATTCTATGACCTTCTATGCTCGGTATTGTAAGCATCGACAGTGGGACGCGGAGTCCACCGCATCATAGCTTGTCCAGTATAGCATTTTATATTAGTATGGGGTACATGAAAAGAGGCTAATGGTGGGTTTATCTGGGGCTTACGTAGATCTCTATCTTGTTAGGACGCCCTATGCAGATATTTCTAATTAACGAGGCATTTAATTAGCCTTTGGGGAACGAGGAGTTAGTTTGTTAGTAGGGAACGGTTCGGGAGATGGTTCTGGCTAAACTGCAGTCTAGCATTGGGACTAAAAAAATGGAATATTCGTAGATACTATAGGAGATCACTGGATCAGTCGACTGGTATTAAGAATATGGGGGGAACCCCGCTTTTATGCGAGTCGAGGTTAATTAAGGTAAATCTTTACCAGTATTGGGCCTAACAGCTTTTCGACCCCTATACACTATTCCGTGATCCTTGTGTTTCGCCTCACTTATTTTTTTTCCCTGCCTTTTTTCTCCCCCTTATCATCCATACCATTGTGTCCGCAATAATGCCAAAATCACGCCAGATCAACGATAACGCTTCGAGACTCGGTGCGCCTGAGGGGGTTAATCGGTCGAAACGTGGTTTGACATGTGCCAACTGCCGAGTGAGAAAGGTTGGTTCGATCCTTGATGGATATTCTCGCATCATCTGTCGCTCACCTCATTTAGACAAGATGCGATGGCACACAGCCGGGATGCAAGACCTGCGAGGTCTATGGCGTGGAGTGTCGCTATGAAAAGGCCCCACCCATGTCGCAGATCCTTGCCATGGCCAAGAGATTACAAGAGACTGAGCAAACCATCGCCGAGCTGCGTGTCGCGTTGCACGAGGCAAGAGAGGCGAACTTGGCTCAGCATGTATTTCCAATGGAGCGGCATATTCCCAATACGCCCTCAGTTGATACCAGTTTCGATAGCGCTTCTCACGCCGAGGCGAGCTCGACGACACAGGTGACTCCTGAATCTGACATGGCGCCGGAACAGGTGTTGCTTTCGGATCTCAGTCTCGATGAAAATGGAAAGGTACGTAATTCTCCAACACAGGAAGCTCTTTGTATGTTCATTGACCTTGTAGCTGTTTGGATAGCTTTGCTACTATGGTCCTACATCCGCCGTCCACGCGCCACCACCGGCCGAATCAACAAACATAAATGACTCGCATTCGTCTATGTCTGACGCCCGATCACTGCTCACTTCGGCTGCTCTCGAGTCGAGAACCTGGGAGGAATTCGCCTTAGGAAATGCGGCGATTCAAACCGACATCCCTCGGCAGATGATATCGAAACTGCTTCAAATCCATTGGACGTGGATTGCGCCAATGTTCAACTGGGTCTATCGCCCCGCGTTCATGCGTCAGTCACAAAACTACTCCTTTGCATAAAACGAGTCTAACTGTATTGCAGGAGATATGGCTGTCAGCGGGCCATGTTATTCTCCCTTTCTAGTCGTTGTCATGTGTGCTCACGCAGCACGTTTTGACGATCACCAAACAAGTGAACTCTTGATCTCAAGAGCACGTCTTCTCCTGGGCACCGAAATACACAATCCCAGCAGCATTCCGACTGCTCAGGGCCTTCTTCAGCTCAGTGCCCGCGAGCTCGCTTGGGGTTCGATATCTCAAGCATGGCTGTACAGCGGCATGGCCTTTCGCATGGTTAGCGACCTGGGACTCCACCACAGCACGACTAAGATCGCTACGCTTGGACACCTAACTGCGGAGGACTTGGAGATCCGCCGACGCCTTTTCTGGAGCTGCTACTTCTGGGATAAGGCCATAAGCCTATTTCTTGGACGCATGCCAATTCTCCAAGAGCTGCCATTCGATCGGTGTCCGGAGCTTTGTCAGTACTGGGCTCGACATCTCATAAGCAACACACGCTAACCGTCTTTAGTGGATGATTCGGCAGAGAACGACCTATGGGCACCGTACTATGGTGATCAAATCAGTCCCGATAAGGCACCGCCAGCGGAATATCCGCCGAGGAAGTCCCATTTGGTTTCAAGTTTCCAAAACGTATGCAAACTTGCTGTTATATTGAACGACATCATCCTACAACTATACTCCCGCCGCGGAAATATCAACATGGATGAAGCGTTGAACAGAATCCAGGGGAGACTTGACCACTGGAGAGAACAGTCGCCTGTGCATTTAAGATATGATCCGGACAACTTGCCCCAAGTTTGTCCTCCGCCTCACATTATCACGCAAAAGTGAGCCCTCGTCAGGCGCTTCCTTTGCAATGCCGCTAATCATTTTACAGTTTATTATATTATACCACCATTATTCTGCTACACCGACCGTTTTCTTACATTCCGACGCATCATGCCGCTTGCCGCACAGCTTCAGATAGTATCGAGAAACTCTTGCTTCTCTTTGAGAGGAGCTTTGGATTCACTAGGATCACTTACCTCATGTCTTACTGCATCTACACCGCCGCGTCCGTCCTGATGCAAGATGTGAAGAAAGGAGACTTCGACGCTCAAGTCAAAATACAGACATTCCTTCAGGCTCTAAGGCAGGGGACTACAGCATGTCCGGTGGTACAACGGAGCCTACATATCATCACTAACAGCCTCAGAGCCGATGCAACGAATGTGCCCGATGCTAAACTCGCGTGTGCACCCACCGGACAAACCCCGCTGGCTAGAAACTATCTCCCGGCTTTTCCGTACCCAGATCTTGACGTGGGCTACAGCACTACCCTGAACCGCGGAAGTACGGATCTTGACGGTTCCACCTTATTGGATTGCTTTCCTGAAACTCAATATGGCGTTATGGACTCCGGGGGAGAATGCTTCTTCCCCACAGCATAATATTCAAACAAGATTGGATAATAGGTTTCATTATTCCATTATATACATCCATAAGATTGTTCAAGTCTACTCATTCATCGTCATCCCACTGCCACAGCTTTCTTGGGTTCTCTACCCATATCTTGCGGGCTAGTTGTTCTCCAGTTCCGCCTTCGACATCTCGGCACCACTTTCTACATCTAGCTATGAAGGCTGCATCGTCAACCTTCCGGTATTCTTGCACCTTCTTGCGATCTCCTCCCGGGTTGGCCTCAACGCCCCCGCTGTGCGGCCAGTCACTCGCCCAGACGACTTGGTCTGGTGCCGTCCTCAATATGTCGGCCACGTACTCGTCGAGATCGGGTAGATTGGGAAAACGATATGTGCCGCTCAGTTTGGTCCATACCTGCCCCGTATGGAGCAGATCGATCAATTCGGTGTACCCCGGTTGCAGCCTGCCAGGCCCACGAGCCTGGTCTGGCGCCCCAATGTGGTCAATGACAACTGGGAGGCCGATTTGTGGCACCAGGGGCGCAAACTCGACAATCTGCTCCAAGGCGATGTACACCTGGATGACCCATCCAAAAGGCCGCACACGGTCAGCCGCTGCTATCACTGCAGCCTTGTTCAGCGGGTCACCCCGGGTGCGCATATTAATGCGGATGCCACGTACACCAGCATCGTGCAGCTGTTGCAGCTCCTCGTCCGATATGGTGCTTGGGTCAATACAAACAACTGCGCGGCCTTTATCAAGACGTGAGAGAGCATCCAAAATGGAGCTGTAGTCTGTATGATAGACGGAGAATGCAATCAGGCATGCATGCTGAATACCCAAGCTGCGGTGAAAAGCCTGCAGGCTAGACAACAGCGCTTTCTTAGGCCGGAAGGGATGGAGTGGGTGCAGCGGGAATTGATCTTCGTCCACAATGTGAACGTGGCTGTCCCAAGCCCCCGGGGGTGGAATAGTGTCGACATCAATAGAGCTCATGGTATCAAGATGGACAAAGTGTTATTGATATTTCGAACTCAAGCACTCCAGGTGAATGTGTCCTCTTTATCAACACCGTATCTAACTCGTGATCTTATCATAACCCAGTTCGATGATGATTCGATGTTGATCTGCGGGTCGCTTTCATCTGATGCAGATCACGGAAGTTCGCCCGGAAATTCGCCGGGAGAATAACCGTGGACGTGACGTTGCAGGGAAACTTTCAGTCATCCGGGGAAAGCCCTAACTCCCCTCAAGGCTCATATATTGCTCATCCTTGACACTCTTCCCCCACATATTCATTCTTGGATCGTCTTGGGGATCGCCGGGGAGATAACCGCAGTATGTGGATGGACGTAAATATAATCTACTTCTAGCGAAGATAGCTCGTCACATAGCACACCAAATGACCTCTATTAGCATAACAACTACAATTAAAACCTACTTACTCACCTCCTCCATCTTAATCTGCACCCCAGACTGCAACCCCAAATAATGCAAGGCGTCCACCTCCGCCTTGGTGAAAGGAATGCCCTCACTCCTCCTCTTCTCCTCGACCTCCGCCTCCATCTCGCCACTAACATAAATCCTGTCAAAGCCGTCTGCCTTCTTGACACCCCTGACAGTCCTCAGCAACATATCCATCCGCTCCCGAAACTCCTCCACCCCACCATCCAGAAACACATCCGGCCGAAACACCAAAAACCAATGCCCAACCCCCTGCGGGCTCTCCATCTCCTTATACTGATCATTGACACCTCCGGCAAACGCGACCCGCTCATCACGCCGGCAAAGATATCCATCATCACGGCCAGCCCACTCCCCTTGGGCCCTGCGATCGGCAAAACCACGCCCCCCTCCAACGCCGCCACAGGATCCGTCGTCGGCCGTCCCTGCGCATCAAGCGCATACCCCTCGGGGATCGACTCCCCCCGTCTCGCAGCCTTCCTCATCTTGCCCCGCGCCGCAACACAAGGCGACACATCCAGGACAAAGTCCCCCTCCGCGCCACCAGGAACCCCCACCGCAAACGGCGACGTCCCCAGCAGCGCCTCCGCACCACCCCACGGCGGCATGGCCCGACTCGCATTCGTGTACGCGAAACAAGCGAACCCCTTCTTGATCGCGCGCAGCACATACGTAGCCCCCATGCCGTAGTGGTTGCTGTTGCGGACGGCCACCATGCCCATCCCGTAGGTCTGTGCCATCTCGACACATTTGTCGATAGCCATGCTGCCGGCGACAAAGCCGAAGGTGTTTTTGGCGTCCAGAAGCGCCATGGTCGGCGTTTTGGTGTTGAATGATAGCTCTGGGTCCAGTGCGACTACTCCGGCTTGGAGACGGGCGATGTACCCCGGGAGACGGTTTATGCCGTGCGTGTCGACGCCGCGCAGGTCGGCGAGGGTGAGCGCTGTGGCGATGAGGTCGGCTCTGTCTGTGGGCACGCCGTGGGAGGTCAGGATTGCTTTTG